AGCTCTCTGCTGTCTTGCTGTGTGACCTCAGGCAGTGCCCGTCCCCTCTCTGAGCTCCAGTTTCCTCCTTTGTCCCCTCTGTGATGTGGACTGGAACCTCCGTGTGTCCCTTCTGGGACTGAACTCACGACTGAGTCCTGTTCATCAAGGTGTCCCTGATGGTGTCTCTCTAGGGTCCGGAACAGGACTCATGCTCCATCCGAGCTTGTGGACAGCTGACCAGGGTGGGGGTGGTATGACAACGGGGCCCAGCCTCCGGGAAAAAAGCAAGTTTCTGGCTTGACGGGCTTTGGGGACAGGCTGACTGGATTACTTGCTTCTGAGGGGCCGATGAGGGGCGGTGGGTAAGAAAAAGCATTAGGGCCCATCTCTCCCCTCTGTTAGCTTCACCCACCTGCAGAACACTCCCTCTCCTGGGGTTCAGGCCCTTCTGGCACTTTGTCAGGCAGGTGCTCCCTCCCCTGCAGGCCAGCCCTCTTCCCTGCTGACGGGAAGGACAGAGGGAACAGCATTAATTCCCTCTGTGTGCTGAAGAGTTTGTGTTCATCTCATCTATTTTACCCATAAAGCTGCTTCCAGTTAATCAGTCACTGAGGTCCCCAAACACTCCCCACCTTCACAGCCTAGATAGAGGCGGGGGAGGCAGAAGCCAAGCAAGAAAGCCTGTGCTGACTGGTCAGTGGGCATTTTATCCACAGTCAGGTTGGTAAGAGCTGCAGGGTCATGGGAGCACCTGGAGGCTAAGGCAGCCTTAGGCAGTAACAACAGAGGTAGCAGTCCTAGAATAGAGGAAGGGACTTCTCTACACCATTCCACGATGGTCAGGCCATTCCAGAGCTTTAGTTCTGGCTCCCCCACTCCCACTTGGGTGAGAGCAGGTCCGATTGGAGAAGATTCAGAGATGGACATTCAGGGTTGTGGGGGAGGGACATGGGTCTGAAAACATGACCTGCTGGGGCAGTTGGAGAAAAAGTCTGGAGGAACGGTGAGAGGGCCCAGGAGTCGGAGGTTGGCTGGTATAAAGAAGACAGCCACAGTTATCTCAGGATGGATGGATTGATTGATGAATGTATTCATCCATCTCTCATCATCCATCTGTTCATCCATAATCTGTCCATCTCTGTCCATCCATCCTCCATCCCTCCACCCACCCACACACTCACTGGGAGGCAGTGGGCATGAAGGTTTGGGGTGCCAGTTCTGGATGAGTTTGATGAGGCCAAGCCCCAGGGTCTGTCAAGTGTCCAGTGCCATCTGCAGTTATCACTTTATTAGTGACTTGTGTAAACTTAGGCAAGCTCTCTGAGCCTTGCTTTTCCCAGATGGAAAATGGGGATAGTTACACTTAAGTGTCTGTGATGGTGATACACAGCTGGAGAGTTGCGAGGTCCAAGTGACCAGACACATATGTCTGTGGGTAGACCTCCAGCTCAGAGGGGCGTGGTGCTGGACCACTGATGTGTGTGCCAATGGACGTGGCCCCTGCCTCCAAGCCGTGGCACCCACTCTGCAGGGAGACCCCAGACAGTATTTGAGGGTATCAGGCAGCAAGTTGCGGCTCCTGTCCCCACCTGGCTTTGTGTACAGGAGCCTTGACCCCCATCCACTCTTCCCTTGGAGGGAAGAAGCCTCGGTTCCCTCCTCTGGGGAGGGGGGAGGAACAGGGGAGAGCTGACAGCTTCGTGCTCACTCCCCAGTCCCCGGTAGTCCAGAGCTACAGAAATAAATGAAACTGTACAGTTGGAGTCATTTGCTAATTAGTTTAAGTAACACCCCCAGTCAGAGACAGGACATAAATACATGAGCAGGGCTCCCGCAGCCGGGGCGGTGCTCAGAGTGGGATGCATGGGAGACGTGAAGTCGAAATGTAGAGTCAGATCTGCAAGGCGGTGGGCGAGGCCACCCCTCGTCCTCCGATTGCCGTGCGGGAAGGGGCTCAGCGAGAGCCCCTGGCTGACTCCGTGGCCTGGCGGCCTTGAAGGAGTTGGAGTCACTGACCCAGGGATGTGGGATCAGCTGGACCCATGTCCAGTGACCCCTCCGCTGCTCACCGCTGTGGGACCTGGACAGATTCCTGACCCGAGAGCCTCATTTTCCCCAGCTGCAGAGCGTAGCTCGGAAAGTTCCTTGGGGATTGCAGGGGCCAGCCTTTACTCAGGGTGGCTGGCCCGACGATGGGGTCCAGGAGATGGTGGTCTTCTCTGGGGTGTCCTCCACGACCCTCCCCCAGATGCTCAGGCCCCCGCAGACCTCCTCCCTCCCCGCGGGCAGCCGGAGCAGGGCCACCGAGGGGTTCTCTGCTCCATGTCACCCTGTGATGCTGTCGGCGGCTTCATTTGCCAGATTTTTGCTGGGACCTGCCAGGGATGGGACGAGTGAAGCAAACACATCGGGTCTTGCACCCCTGCAGCTCTCCGGCTCGGCTTGGGGAGCAAACAGATACTCTGCACCCCTCAGCTGGGCCCAGCAGGGTGGGCTGTGATGAAATTAGTAGGGTGGGCACAGTGGGGAGGCAGAGGGCCTGGAGAGCGCCCCCCCACCTGACTGGCAGCACCGAGGGGCAGGGGCCTGCCAGGAGTGGGCAGTTCCTCAAAATGAGTGACGGGGGCTGGGTGTGTGTAGTAGGGACAGGTGGGGACTGGGGCAGACAGACATTGGCTTCCGGTCTAACGGAGGCACAGATACTCAGCACTTGACTGGGCCAGGAGCATGAAATTTAAAATTGATTGATTGATTTTTAGAAAACAAAGAATGGCATTTTATTGGGACTTTTTTGCGTTTTTTATGTTGGCAACCAGATTCAAATAGAAAAGTTGTGCCAGACGAAATGTGCCTCTGGGCAGGTCTGGCCTGCAAACGGAGGCCCGGGGAAGCTGACACTGTGAATACCAAGTGCTGCTTGTCTCTGTTCAGTGTCTTCTGAAACCCCGGAGCGGTTTGGAGGGGTGGGTGTTCTTCTTCCTGCTTTATAGGTGGGGCAACCAAGGCACACAGCTGGTGAGTGGCAGAGCTGGGTCTGGGACCCAGGCCATAGGGCCTGTCGTTGTCTCGGGGCTCCCAGAGTGGATAAACGCCAAGGAGGAGAAAACCCTCTTTTCTCAAACTTGTGAAGGACTCTGGGGCGGCGGGAGAGGCGGCGATGAGCAAGATTATGGTTTTCTGCCAGTTTTTGGGCAAACTTCTGTCTTGCTCCCTTCCCTGCTCCGTGGCCAGGCTGGGACTCAGGTGACCCTCAGGCAGCAGTTTGCCATGGCCACAGAGCTCAAGACCAGACAGGATGTGTAGGTCCTGGTCTCAGGGGTGGGGCAGGGGTGTGAAGAAATAAGATTCTAACTACATTCTGGACTCTTCTGTTCCCTTGCAATTAGAATACGATAGTTGTAGTTACAGTGCCCAAAACATCGTTGTATTATTGTTTATCATTCTCATGATTGATTGTTTGCCACAAGGCTCGCCCTGCCCCTTCCCGGAGCTCACACAGGGCTGGGAAAAGCACACTGCTTCCTAGAATGCCTATCGGGAGCCGAGTCTGACCACACGTCTGTCCCATCCAATCCGATATCGTGGGCGTCAGTTCTCAGTGAGGCAAACGGTCCTTAGAAGTTGGGGCATTTCTGGAATTGGGTTCCTGACAGAGCACTCACAGGGCAGAGGATATAGAGTTTCACGAAGGCCCTGCTCTTCCTGGGGAGTGGGGGGCAGAGAGGTCCTTAGCTCCCAGGAAGGGGCATTCCCCAGGCACACCCTCCGTGGTCAGGGGAAACTGAAGCTCAGAGAGGTTGAGTGACTTGCTCATTTGAGAGGTGACAGAGCTGGGATTGGAACTGAAGCCAGCGGGCTCCCGAACTGAGCACTGCAGCTGTGTGTGCTCTTGTGGGGGTCATGGCCACCCAGGGTCAGAGAAGAAGCGCTGTGAGGGGTGGATCTCCAGCAGCCAGGAGGTCTCTTGCTCTTCCTGCTCCATTTGCCAGGAGCCAGGAGGTTGAGGCCCCTTGGGAGGGTTCCCCGACATGTCACCAGGGGCCCCCCCCAGACAGAAGGCTGGAGGGTCCAGGAGAAGGACTTGAGCCTCCAGGTTGGCTCACCTTCAGCATTGCATTTTCATCCAAATCGGGGCCCACAGGTACTATCATGACTTTTTCTCCAGGCCCGGGGAGCCCAGCAACTAAGGCAGGTGGGCGACGGGGAGGCAGAGACCCGAGCCTGGGGTCAGGCTGGTTTCTGGGGGACAGTGGGGGCAAAGGGTGGGGGTGGTGGTTTACTGAGTCCGAGGGGCTGTGGTAGTGGGGGCGGGGGCGGCTGTGCCGGAACCCGGCCCACAGCCATGTCAGGCAGGAGGCAGCACCCACACCTGCTCAGGGCATCTGCAAGGTGGGGCCCCAGAGGAAGAAAGGGAAGGAAGTAAGGTGTGGAAGAATGGCCCGGGGCTCTGCACAGAGCCAAGCTGGAAGGACCTGTTACTGGTTCAGCATATGGTCTGCACAGACAGCTTTGTTTGGATTGCATTTGGCTTGGACGGTCAGGGTTGGCCCTTCCCCAAGTGTGGGGTCTCCAGAGGTTTCACACAGGCTCTGCAAGGAACCCGTGCTTCCTGGTGGAGTGTGGAGGCTCCCGAGTCAGGCCCCCCCGTGGTGAGTGGCCTGGGACAGCGAGGCTGGGGGGCCAGGCCTGGAGGTCCGGGGTGGGGTCTCCTTTCAGGGGAAAAGTGGCTCAGACAGAGGAGCCCGAGGCGGGGAAGTCCTGAGGATGAGGCCAGGGGCCCTCCTGCTGGTCTGGGCCTGGTGGCCTGTCACCTAGCTGCCACTGGAGCAGGCAGGCTGCAGGGAGGGGGATGGGGCCTCCTGCCGTCGCCTCTGATCCCAGGGCGTGGATGCGGGACCGAGCAGCGGGGGCTGCTCCGCTGGGGATCCCGGTGCCTCTTGCCCGCCGCCCTCCCCCGGCTGGGGCTGGCTCTCAGCAGGCCGACAGGGTGTCCTGCGTGTCTCTGCCCACCCCTGCAGGTAGCCTGCCCTACGAGTACAAGATCGTGATTGCCGGCAACCATGAGCTGACCTTCGACCAGGAGTTCATGGCTGACCTCATCAAGCAAGACTTTTACTACTTCCCGTCTGTGTCGAAGCTGAAGCCAGAGAACTATGAGAACGTGCAGTCCCTGCTGACCAACTGCATCTACCTGCAGGACTCGGAGGTCACCGTGCGGGGCTTCCGGGTCTACGGCTCGCCATGGTGAGTGCGCCCTGGGTGCCTTCCCGGCCTCGGGCGGGGCGCTGGGGGAGCTGGGGCTGAAGGCGCAGAGGGAAGTGGGGCTTGGGGAAGCACCGGGGAGCTCCAGATCTCAGCTCTTCCCACACCCCCGTGTGGCCCCCGGCAGGCCGCCACATCTAACTGGCAAGTAGTTCTATCAGCTGTGTCCTCTGTGTTATTTGTCTCACATACAGACGGCTACTGTTATCATCCCCAGTTTCCAGGTGAGCAAATTGAGGCACAGAGAGCTTGAGGATCTTGCCAAATGTCACGCAGCTTGGAAGGGGCAAAGCTGGGATTAAACCCAGGCACTCTGCTTCCAGAACCCCTGCTTTCAACCATTATTGTGTACGCTAGGAATCTCCCCATCGCCCATGTCCCCTGACACACACCAGAGTTGCATGGGTGAGGGGTGACAAGTGATCAGCCAGGCTGAGGAAAGGCAGTTGTAATTTTCATGGAAGGCCGAAGACCTAGTTTACTGTGTCGGGGATGGCAGTTGTTGCAATCATGAGTACATATCAAGCTCTTACTCTCTGTTGGGTGCACAGAATAATCAGGCCTCATCCCTGGCTCAGTGGGGATCATGGTGAGAAAGAGTCATGACTCTTCTGTGTGATGGTCAGTGTGTCCATCAGAGCCCTGGTGAGGATGATGCAGATGGTGATGGGGATGATGGTTGTGATGGCCATTGTAGTGGTGATGATGGTGATGATGATGATGGTGGTGATGATGGTGGTGGTGATGATGATGGTGGTGATGATGATGGTTGTTGTGATGGTGATGGTGGTGATGATGGTGCTGATGGTGATGATGATGATGGTGGTGATGGTGGTGGTGATGATGATGGTGATGATGGTGGTAGTTGTGATGGTGTTGGTGGTGGAGGTGGTAATGATGATGATGATGGTGATTATGATGGTGATGATGGTGGAAGTGGCGATGATGATGATGATGGTGATGATGATGATGGTGGAGGCGGTGTTGATGATGGTGATGGTGATTATGATGGTGATGATGGTGGAGGTGGTGATGATGATGGTGATGATGATGGTGGTGATGGTGATGATGATGGTTATGACGGTGGTAGTGATGGTGGTGATGGTGATGATGGTGGTGATGGTGGTGATGATGGTGATGATGATGATGGTGATGGTGATGATGGTGGAGGTGGTGGTGATGATGATGATAATGGTGGTAGTTGTGATGGTGATGGTGGTGGGCAGCAAATCATTCTTGAGCAAATTCAGTAAGCCAGTCCCTGTGCTAAAGTCTCCATAAGCATTGTTTCTAATTCTTACTCAGCCCTGAGCAGACTGATTTATTGTCCCCATTCTGTAGGTGGACAGGCCAAGTGGCCCTTAGCAGGCCTAGAGCTGGCAATAGCCACAGGGTGCCAAGTGCTGGCAGGGTGAGGAGGGTACCATACACAGTGGGGAGAGATCACATGTCCTTGAAAGTGTGGCGTGATCCCAGAAGGCTCCTTGGAGGAGGTGAGGTGACCTGAGCTGTGAAGGAGGAGAAGGGCATTCACAGCTATGGAGGGGTAATGGCCTGAAGCTGCACCATCAGAGCAGTACATGCAGGGAGGCTGAGGGATGATTTGGGGGCACACGGGGACTGTATGGGTGCAGGGACTTCGGGGGAGAGATGTTACCAACACAGCGTGTCTGGGAATACCCTGGGCAGCCTGGTGGATGCCATGTGGTGACACCTGGTGGCCAGAGGCTGCTGGCAGGTTTAGGACCTGGTTCCATCTTGCCAAGGCCTCCTCATGGGGCAGAGGGAAGGTGTGGGCTGCCCCACTGTCCCTGAGCAACAGGGGTGCCTGCTGCCATCTCTCTGGTCCTCATCGTGTCCGGGGTCTCGATGATCAAGGACCAGGGGGGCACTTGAGGACATGAGGAGCTCAGTGCCAAGGCCAGGAGTGGAGAGGAGGCAGTTGAATCTGCCTGGCAGGCCACTGGAGCCCAGATTTGGAGAAGGAGTCTGGCTGAACATGCTGGAAGGACTGGAGTGTGAGGTGCAAGAGGGAAGTCAGGAGGGTCAAGGGGGAGGTCTTCAGGTACCAGACCAGGCAGCCTGGACTGCATCTCCTTGCCCAGTATTTTGAACACCCCTTTACCCCTCCACGTCCACATACATACACAACCCTTTAAAAAAATATTCTATTCTGTAGGAGGTAGTGTGGTTTTAGAACCAAACTGCTTGGGCTCAAATCTTGGCCTCAACTTTTATGAGCTGTGTGACCCTGGGCGAGTCACTTAACCTCTCTGTGCCCCAGTTTCCTTCCCTGCAAAATGGAAGTGACAGTGCACGTCCTGCAGAGGGTGGTTGTGAAGGTGTCAGGAGGGTTTGGCTGGGCCTGGTGCCTGTACCAGCAAGCTCTCCATGAACGGAGACCCCACTGCTGTAATTTGCTGCAGAGGCCAGCCTTCCAACACCACCTTGTCCAGAACCCAATATGTGGGCTGGAGGACAAGCAGGGGATGGGGACTGGCAGGTGTCACTCAGTGTCCACCCCCTTCCCCCAGAGCAGCTGTGTGCAGCCCTGTGGCTGGGGGCTGAGCAACCCCTTTGACAGCCTGCTCTCAGGCTCATGGGTGTGTGGAGGGCCAGGGTGTTGGGCCAGCCCTGTTGCCCCTCTGCCAGCTGGAGGCCACGTGCTGGTGCTCCCGAGGCCTGAGTGAGGTCCAGCTGCCCTGTGCTTGGGCCACCAATGGCTACTGCCTTTGGCTTTTGGGGTTTCCAGCCTGGACAGTTCTAGACCCTTTAGTTCCAGAATTTTCCTGGGGCCTTACTGCTTTCTCCTTGACCCCCTTACCTGTCATCCTGGCTGGCTGGGTGCACATCCACTGCTTGATGCCATGTGGAGCCCAGTACTGAGTGCGGGAGTGAGAGGCTCAGGCCAGAGAAGGGACCCCAGGAGGCCTTGGTGAGATCCAGGAGGGCTCCCTGTCGGAGGGGGGATTTGAACTGCGGTTTCTGCAAGTGGAAGGGGCAGGAGAGGAGCCATATTTCTGAGTCCCATTCTGTGCCAGGCTCCCCCAGACTCTTCTGGATGCGGTTTGGGCAGCCGTTGATGCCGAGGGCTAAGTGGTACCTTGTCTGTGCTCCCCATGCAGGCCATGGGCTGGTGTTTCAGCAGCTGCCCTGGTTTCCCTCAGGCCCCATCTGGGGCTGGGAGCAGGTGGTGGGTGTCACAGCAACAACCATGGCCCAGCGGCTGGTTGGGTAAGGGAAGGGCTGTTCAAACTGGGACACTATGAATATGTAGCTGTGTGACGTTGGGCAAGTGCCTTAGCCTCTCTGGTCCCTCTGTAGAGTGAGGAAATGATACTACCACATTATAGGCAGTTGTGAAGTCTGTGTGGGCCCATCCAGATGAAGGCCTGGCCCAGAGCAAGGCCCTGGAGGTTGGTTGTAATTACTATTACTGGGAGCTCCTGGGGTGGAGGCCGGGATGAGGTTAGCTCTATTCCAGCTGATACCTCAGCAGCCCCCAAGGCCGGGCCAGGACTCTATCCCATTTCACAGAAGGGCAAGTAGAGGCGCAGGTGGGCTGTGGCTTGCCCAGGGCCACATAATGACTGGTTGTCTGGACTCCTAGTCTGGGCTCTTCCTGCTCCAGCATAGAAGCCAGTGTCCTTGTATGAACACGTACTCCGTTCCGGGCCCAGAACAATGGGCTCTGTATGGGTTCCTTGGTTCTCCAAAAAGCCTTCTGATGCACCTAGGCCTTACTGGCCCCGTGAGGATATTGAGGCCAGTGGATCCAGTCAGTGTTCTCGTGGTCACCTGTTAATTGCTTTGTTCCTTTGTCAAGGCTGTGTTGAATGCCACACACTGATCTAGGCCCTGGGGACATGCTGTGAACCAGACAGGTGCAGCTTCAGCCTTCACGGGGTTTATGTCCTCGTAGGAGACACATCAGCCACCAAATCCTTGATTCTATAAGGGCCAGGAGGAGAGGGGCTGGGAGCTGGGGTCAGGGAAGGCTTCCCCTGGGAGAGGGGCTGGGAGGTGGGGCGAGAGGAGGCTTCTGCTGGGAGAGGGGCTGGGAGCTGGGGTCAGGGAAGGCTTCCCCTGGGAGAGGGGCTGGGGCTGAGGGGACACAAGCAGCTATGCAGGGTGGGGGGTTGGGGAAGGGTGTGACAGGCAGAGGGAACAGCTCAGGCAAGGACCAGGAGGCGGGCAGGGCCGTGGGCATTCTGGAGACCGATGCTCAGCTCTCGGTCACAGCTCCCTCTGCCTGTCACCCTGTGTCATCAACCGGTTGGGACCCCGCATAGCACAGCTGAGGTCCAAAAGGGACATAGCGCTCATATGTGCAGGCTGTCAGTCCAGTGCTCGCTCCCTGGGCCCAGAGACACCAGGGGCGTCCCCAGGCTCTCACTCTCACTCCATGTCTGACCTGGTGAGTCACGCATCTCCGAGCCTCAGTGTCCCAAATGCACAAGGGGACACTGCCCCGCCAGGCTCCTCTGTGCTGTTCCCAGGTGACACTGCCCCTGGGGGGGTGTTCACAGCTGCAGCACCTCCTGGTCCCGCTGCTGATTCTGCCTGGTGCAGGGGTTGTGCACCCCCCAACTGTCTGCCAAGGCTCAGCCCCTTGGCACTGACCGCCTGGACATATGGCGGCTCATTAGGAGGGTAGACTGGCCAAGATGGTGGTGATGATTACTAAGTTCAGATGTTCGGGTTTCCCTTTCTTTACCCTGCTCTCCACACATTGACTAACACGGAGAATACAGGAGATGTTCTCTCCAGCTTTAGAAGTGTAATTATACCAGTGGGGGGACGGGGATTGAATAAAGCTCTAGCCATGAGCGTCCAAATAGAAATGGTGTCTGGAGCATGTGGGCAGGGCTGACCCAGGTTGAGGGGGAGACCTGTTCAATGTGACCCTAGCCGACAGAGCAGGGGCACAGAAGACAGTGACAAAAGGCAGGGTCTCATCAGTGCAGGAAGACTGTCCCACA